GTAGCGAACAAACTTCAACCAGGACGTGATTGAGCCATGCGAACGAGATAATCTTGAAAATTAAGAAGTTAAACGGGACAGAGCCCGCGGGTTACAGCTATTTGAATATAAATATATCTTCTCTAGCTGCATTACGTCCAAGTACTGAAACAGTGGTGCAGCTGAGTCAAATTTCTTTACACCACAAATAGTTTTTAATGTAAGCTTTTGCATTATTACAATTGGTTTAAGTATTGTTGAAAACGTCCCTCCCCAATGAATTAAACCATACTTAAGAGTAGATTCAAACCAGGATAAATAGCGTTCTAAGAAGTTTAGGAGTAATAAACTGTCTCAAATGAAAGAAATTATAGTTAATTTTTCTACGTTTTTTACATAGTTGATTAACATGTGTATGCCATTTTAAATCTGAATCTATATGAAGGCCAAGATACTTGACCGAATCAACAAAATTTATTTTTGTACAGCAACAATCACGAAAACAAGTAACTAAATGACAACGTAGATCGATCTCTTCTTTCAACGACTCTGTCAAATGAGGTTTGTAAGTAAATATCATTGCATTAGATTTAAAAGTATTGACGATTAATTTGTTTCTTATCACCCAATTTGATATTACGTCCAAATCATTATTAATTTTCATCCTCAGTAAATCATAATTGTTAGCACTGCATACTAAAGATGTATCATCAGCAAAAGCATATATCTTCGATTTTAAATCCATTGATAACATGTCATTAATATAAATTGTGAATAAAATTGGTCCAAGCACTCCCCCTTAAGGGACGCCAAGCCTTTGAGAACATACATCTGAGTAAACGTTTTTTATCTTAACCATCCGTTTTCTTTCATTTAAAAAAGTCTCAAACCACTTAAAACTATTTCCCTGAATTCCATATAACTTTAGTTTATGTAATAATATGTCTTGATTAACTGAGTGAAATGCCTTAGTAAAGTCAAGATAAACTCCTATTGTTGGTTTACGCTCATCAACATGATTAACTATCTCGCTTATATGTCTTTCAACTGCTAGGTCAGTATTTTTACCTTTCATGAACCCAAATTGATTATTTGAAAATAAATTGTTATCTGAAAAATATTTAACTAATTGGCTTTTCACACAAGTTTCTAACAGCTTAGCAAAGGTATTTAAAAGTGATCGGTCGGTAATTATTCATTTGCAATGGATCAGCTGCCTTATATACTGGAACAATGAGTGCTGTTTTTAGACTAGAAGGAAAGTAACCTAGCTTTATACATAAATTAAAAATGTGACGTAATATTGGGACAAAAATCTTAACATTTTCTTTTATAGTATTTATGGAAATACCATCAAAGCCAACAGACTGTTTATTTGGTTTGCTTAAGATTAAACTTTCTAATTCTACCTCAGTAATTTCAGATAAACGTAACCTTGAGCTGCACGCTAGACCGATATCCGGCATGGCGGGGAATCCCGGCCCATACAATTCTCTAATCAGCTTATCCGGCATACCAGTAAAATTGTTATTGAATGAGTCAGCAACTATTTTTTCATTACCCTCAACCTGTACAATTTCATCATCTATATTAATCGATGTTAGTTCATTTTTTGACTTTCTCATAATAGATTTGCATATATTCCAATAAGACTTTGATGCAGCCCTTTACTGCTTCAATTTTAGATGAGTAATAATTAATTTTTTCCCGTCTTTTCAAATTAGAACATTCTCTAGAGAGTTCTTTATATCTATTAAACAAATGTATGTCATAGTGCTTTTTCAATCGAGAGTGAAGTCTGTTTTTTCATTTATCTTTTTAATTAGTGTGTCCGATATCCATGGAGTTCGATGCCTATTTTTACTGTTAATAGGCCTTAAAAAACTTGATTGCTCAATACATTTATTATAAATATCGTAAAAAACTGTTAGAGATTTATCAACATCCTCACAATCAAACACTGGCATCCAGCTCACTTCAGCCAACCTTCTTTTTAAAATTGAATGATCTACAGCCTTGACAAACTCCTCTTTCAAAGCACTATCACAACTTGTTACGCAATTTACATTAACTCCAGCATGATCAGTAAAGTCATAGTTTTCTAAATTACTATGAAAAATTAAATTAGTCTTACTTCTGATGAATACATGGTCTAAACACTTTACCCAATTTTCTCTCCCCCAAGTTGGCTCATTTATAAACGACTCAAAACCAAATGAGTTCATTATACTTAAATAATCAATGACACTGTTATTTTGTTCTAAAATGCATAAATTTATATCTCCTAACATAATAGCTGTGTTTTTACAATTACTCAAAATACGTTGCAAATCATTGCGGAAAAAATAAAAATCATATTTATAGTTTCTATACAAAGCTATTAAGTCAATTTCAAAAGGTTTATCATTTATGGTAAAAACTAATGTCAGTTTAATTAATTCAACTTCACGTGACTGAAAGCGTTCATAATTTAAAGTTAAATGATTAGAAATATAAATTACCACTCCACCAGTCTATGTGTATAAGTTGAGACACGTTTGTAGAAAACACTAAAAAGGCAATCTTCTAAACAATTTTAAAATATTTACAACTTTAATTATATAGAAATGTTCATAACACAGTAAGTAATTCCATTAGTTGCATAAGCTTTTACGTGAGTCTTTTTAATTAATTGAAAATTAAGTCTGTAATAACTCTTAAAATAGCTCCTGTACCGGTACTTGATAATTGAGTGAAAATTTAAAAACGTACGTTTTCATGTCCCTGGCCTTTTACTTCGTAGATACTGGATTTGTAGTTTATTATTATGTGTTTTAATATTTTTTGGGACGGGGGCAACATGTTACACACATTTATTTGGTTTTAAATAGGTTCTAGGTATTTTTTTCGTATTTTTAAAGTCTCGAAATTCACGACCATGACGTGTCCCTAGGGTACATTTTCCAACTTTCACGCTGTTTTTAGACTAATTATTCATGCCGAAATATATAAAGCCATATTTTTATGTCATCAATGGTTATTAAACTTACAAAAAAGGAGCATATTATAATTTTATTGTCATCACAAACTGACTACCATGACAAAATAAGTCTGTCCCTCGATTTGGCGTCACGACCATTTGGGAAAAATTTTCAACTTTGGAGAACGACAGTGGCAAGCCTGGCGTCGATGGAGTCAGTTGGTTTTAGAGACTAGTTCGGGGTGTACGTCAGGATTGTAGTGCCGGTCGTTTCGAGTTGAAAGGAGGAATTACAAGATTAATAAAGGAAAGATTGTGTTTTTTGTAATTTTGGTGTGTCCATGACCGTACGTAGTCATTCGATGAAGTAGACATGGTGTTAATTTTTGTTTATAAGTTATTTCAATTGCTAGATTAACCTAGAAGTCCACTTTGTATCCTCGAACATGAGGTGCAGGGCTACCACCAGAACAGAGCCAAATAACACGTAATTTCACGACCAAAGTTTCACGACCATCGCGGGTTTTTTCACGACCAATCCAGCCTTATGGATTATAGTGTGTTTGGTCGTGACAAGAACTTTAATATAATTGTAAATTGAACAGTTTAGTGCAATTGAAACACATATTTTTATTATAACTAACAGGATAATTGAAGGATTGTTTAGAAAGATTTAGATTATTCCAGACAATTCACGACCGTACCGCTTGTCCCTGACCATCACGTTTATGATTTCTATCATCAAAATTTCAAAAATTAAAATATCGTCATATTTCAATGTTTTATACACAAAAGAAGCACACCTCTATACAAACATAACGATTTTTCGGGTCTCAGGTAAGTTTTTTCGGAGTTATACAAACTTAAAAAGATTTTATTGGCTTTTTTTCAATTTTTTGAGTTTTTTTATTTTTTTCTAGAAAGACTAAATATACCAAAAGCTCAGTGACCTTTTTATTGTATAGTGGTCATAAAAGTAAATTAGTTTATAGCAAAACATATTTATAAAAATAATACTAACTATTTTTAATATTCATTTAAACGTCCGTTATGGTCGTGACAGGATTTTGTGTTTTTCCACTAAAGATGCTCTTTTAAAAAGAAACTACCAAAGATATTGCGTTACCATGGACATTTTATAAAACTTCAAATGTTAATGAAATAAAAAAAATAATAAAAGTTTTGAAAAAAGGGGAAACAAATTTGCAAAGTGCTTTTCCTGAAAACGTACGTTTTTAAATTTTCACTCAATTGCTTGATTTCTAGCAACGAGTACACAAGTTAAAAATTCAACAATGCATTAACATAACAAGCTCTCTTTCACGCTGCAAGACTAGTAAACGGCAGAAGTAAGGCAGAACGGCAGAACTGCGGTATTGGTTTACCATACACGCCTGCAACGATGCGCTGCAAACCGCGCGACGAGTAGCTAAATGAACCGTAGAGTAAGTGAGCCTTCTAATATTTGTAGAGGGTTCACTTACTCTACAGATCATTGTGCCAATGAACTGTAGAGTAAGTGAGCCGTCTTCTATTTGTGTAATAGTTATCATGAAATAGGCTCGTATAGTATACGAGCCTACTCCTGTAATTTATTTAAATTCAGTATTTTGGCTCGTATACTATACGAGCTTATTCCTGAATTATTCAAGAATTCATACGCTTGGCTCATAGGCACAATGATCTGTAGAGTAAGTGAACCCTCTTAATTTATTTGATATTTTTGATCGGCTCGTATAGTATACGAGCCTGTAGTGCAAGTGAACCTTCAATATTATTTACGAAGCTCGTATAGACTATGATTTGTAGAGTAAGTGAGCCATGTGTTTTAAGAATTACATATTTGGAGGCTCATTGTGTCAATGATTCGTAGAGTAAGTGAACCCTAACCTTAAAAACTGCCAACTCTATCATGATCAATGTACCTAACGTACAGAAAATAATAATTTCACTCTCGCTCAAGTCTCAGTCAGCTGTTGCTGTTGTGTTTCTAAAGTCAAGTTATTCTGTTCTGTATTCTGTCTGTAAACTAAACTTCAACAAACACAGTAGTTCTAACCTCAACAGTATAAGTTTATACACATCATTTTCATTTCAGTACCAAAGGCTATTATTTTGTATTGCTCAGCCTTAGACTTTTGTGATTACACAACACAAGGCAAATTTGTAGTTTCATTACCATACAGTGCACCACTATTTAACTATTTGTCCAAGTAAATCTAAAACTTATATTCAGCCAAAAATTCTTTTAACCTAGGCCTATCAATTCTTAACATCTGTCTGGTAAGTTGCAAATTGATATTATTAATTAATTGTTAAATTTTTAAGTTAAGGTAACGAGCCAAATCTTTTTTGGATCCTTTCGGGTACAGTTTTTTAACTGGGCAATGCTAATATCGATTGAAACTATCAATTCGATTAGTAAACCTTCATGCGACTTTTTTCACCATCAGCAAGTTTGGTTAGTTAGGTTAGGTTATGATAGTTAAATTTATAATAGATATAGGTGTTTAAAAATATCGATTATTAATCAATGTTTTCAATTCGACAGTTTCAATCGATATTAGCATAGCCCAGTTAAGAAACTGTAACCATCCTTTCAAAAGTAATAAAAACTAACTTAAGTAGTTATTGGCAAATAGCTTGTTAGCCTTGTTAACTTATTTATTTGATAGGCCTATGGTAGGCATAGGCCTACTCTGATGTCATGATAATAAAAAGTCATGAACAACAATGGAATTGACATTCCTTTGTAGTGGAATTGTTTTTTGTGGAATTGTGGTCAAAAACGATGAATTGTCAGCACTATTGGAAGATCTTGCACTAGTCGTTGCTGCCAGTGTTGTTTTGTGAAACACTTACATTTAAACCTGATTTAATTTAGGCTACTAAAAAGTATTTCCTCAAACATGTCTAATTTATTCGCTGATATATACAATTGGGTCAGCATACCTATAAGCTAAAAAAGTAGATTGTAGTTGAGAGCTTAACCCTTGGCTATCATTGTCATAGGTTTTGTATAGCCTATTTATTGTAATTTTATATTGTACGTGTTTGTACTGTACATGAACTGTATGATTACAATGTAAACCCATTTCATTATAGGCAATTTACCTAACTTTTGATCCACTTTTTTTACTATTCAACCACAAGTAAACCAAGTTATAACAAATTAAATTTGTATGGATTAACTATATAATTAACCTATGAAAATTAGGTAATTTTGATAATTTTAATTAAATAAGCCCAATGAAATTTTTCAGACAAAATCTCAATCATGACTGGAAACAAGTGCAAGAACTGTGGGTCATCCGATCTAGAGGTTGATCCAGCCAGAGGGGATACAGTTTGTACAAACTGTGGCACAGTGCTGGAGGATAGTGTCATCGTTTCAGAAATGCAATTTGAGGAAAATGCTCATGGAGGCACATCTGCTCTTGGACAGTTTGTGGCTTCTGACTCAAAAGGAGGCTGTAGAGGGTTTGGGAACAGTGAGTGAATTTTTTCTTGAAAAACAAAATCATTAACAGATCCTAAAAAACCTTATCTTGTGCAATGTTTAATGATTTCCTGAAAATAGATTCGTTCATAGTCCATCAGTTGTGATTATGATTAATTTGGGCAAAGTCAGGAAAAACATCCATACTAGTATACCCTAGTTCATCAAATTTGCCGAAAGATTAGCCTACTTTTTAGAAACTAGCTCAAGCTTATTTATTTATTTTACGGTTACACCATTTTTACAATTCAGTACATACATACATCAATTCAATACCAACATCACATGCTAATAGAAAAAAAAAACTATTTGAATAGCAAGCATAACAATCTATAGAAATTTGGAAACAATAACAATCGATAAATACTACAAGAAAACATGCGACTAGATAACAAGAAAGACAATAACTACATCAATAGTACAAACAATATCAATAACTAGTAACAGACGGCAATAATGACTAGGGAGCATTGATAAGGAAGCATTGACAAAGAATTAAATATTACATAAGACCTGTACAATTAAATCACAACAGAACGAGCGTACATTAATAACCTAAGCGTTGTGAAAAAGCTGGTTCCAGTCTTAGGGAATGAAATACTGTTTCTGAAGGGTCAAATTTTGATTTTAATAAAAAATCTGGCTACAGATTTAACATGGGGATGAAATGTCTACCTACTTGTATTAATAGTCAAAGGCAATTAACTGGGCAAACAATGCAATGCACGCTTTTTCCCCGGTTATGCAGCCGCCTCGCACAATGGCACACCATGCATTACCGGGGTCGCAGCCGCAGCGAATGTGTTAAAATTGCAATCTATGGTAAACCTCATACAGTCATGTCTGCCTGTTGATGATAAATGGAATTTCCAGGTGTGTTTTGATAGTTTTCAAAGAATTCCGTTGTATGTATGTTGACTAAATATCTTCTCATGAGTGATATTGATATGTTTATATTTTTTTCAGATTTCCATACAACACTCAACAGGGAATCAAGGGAGATAACCCTGCAGAATGCCAAGCGTGGAATATCAAACCTTTGCCAACAATTAAGGTAAGTTTGGTACAAATTAAAATTGGATGATTGCTATTTCGACTATTTGATGACTAGATGAATTTCCATTCTACGTGCGGGTTGAATAAAATATACAGCACATACAATACAATGAGGAATCTTTTTACGTCAAGTATATAAATTCAAGCATTTAATTTACAGTACCGGTAATAAAAAAAGAAAGAGTTATAACTAACACAATAGTATGGTGTATGAAAAAGAAATACTATATGGAAATAATCACAGTTAATCTTTTATACACAATGATAATAATATGACATTTTTTACAAAAAAATACAATAAAACATTTTAATGAGAAGTGCTTTGAATTATGGTATTTAGGAGATTGTCCCCTTCTTTCACCCAAGGTTTCTTTCGATGACAAAGAGGATTTGTGTGGTTTTTCTGTGTGCCTCCTCATACACTACGATTCCATTCTGGCCACCCGGAGCATGAATGAAGAGGCTTTTTCTGGATCTCACTCTGGAACTTACTACTGCCCATGAGAGAATCATGCTGATCCGCTCATTCCTTCATGGATGCAGACAACGTCTGGTCTTGTGATTTATTAATCAGGGTGAGTTTATAGGCAGGCAAACCGTTGATACTGAGTCGAGAAACTCTGCCGGGTAGTTTACAGCATCGTCTTCTCTCAGTACGGTGTTCACTGATTTATAAGTACGTTCTTTAACGTGGATGAGAGCACCTAAATGTCTATCTGCGTTGCTTGCTCGTTTTTAGGTGTCAGAATTGCACTATCACAGATCCAGGCACTATCCATGTTAAGTAGTTCATGAACTTCTGGAAAGAGACTGGTTAATCAGTTATTCTTGTGATCTGACAACACCGAGTGAAGGAGATGCGGTTATTATCCTATTTATATTTTCTAATGTTCTATCTCCAACCTTCATTAGAATCTTTGGGAATTCCTCATTCCACATTAATCAATGCAAACAGCTTTCATATGTGAGTGAGAGGCGTTCTATGGTTGGCCACAAAGTGGATCGCTCCAGAGATGCATTGATCTCGTCACCCCTCCCCGCACCACAACAGGCAGAGCTTGTCTAAAGTCACCAGAAAACATCACAGTTACTCCCCCATGGTGTTTGGGCTGTTTCTAATATCTTTCAATGTCCCGTCCAATGCTTCAATGGCGACTTTGTGAACCATGCATTCGTCCTATACAATTAGGCAGCAATCGAAGCACTCTAGCCATTGGGGAGTTCCTTGAAATAGAAGGTTGTTACTACCTGTATCGAATAGCATCAATATAAATTCATAAGTATTGAAATTACAACACCAACAAAATGTTTCACCTTTCTTTTAAAAACATTAGTCAGGCATCATTTCTTATGGTTTGTTATCTTGTACATTCAATAGTATGACAAAAAATAAATCAAAATTCTCACTAGGCCTTCTTATAATTAATTTAACATAAATATAACCCAAATTTTAACATACAACAGCAGTTTCATGTATATAAAAATTCACAAACAGTTGAATATCTATTTCATAATATTACGTAACACGTCACCCGTTCTATAATCAATGGCATTACAGTATTTGCATTTTATTTCACTTTAAATTGCTTTGTGCTTATTCTCTTCAAATTTGTCAAATACTACAGTAGCCTATATTTTTTGTTAGAAATAACCTAAACGCCATTTACTGTCTTTACTGAGAATAGCAACTTCCTAAGGACGTAAATCCATTATGGTGGGATAAAATGTAAAATTCAAATCAAATCAAATCAAATATGCTTTATTCATAAAGTACAGTGTTGTACATTGAATAGTGTCAACTAAATCTATCTTAAATTAATAATTTACAGATTTGCATATCTTGGATCATTATCTAAATAAAAAACCAAGAATCAGGAAATGGAAATAATCAAAACTGAATCAATTATGTACTAACGCTAAGAGGGGAGGTGGAAAAATACTCTTCCAGGGAATAGAATGCTTTCTCTACTAAATATAGTTTTAGCTTTCTCATGAAATTCTTCCTGCTTTGTTCATTTCTGATTTCATTAGGAAGATGGTTAAAAAATTTTAATCCTATATAGGATGGTTTTTTTTCATAGAATTTTAATTTATGTTTACTTGAAATAAGGAATTTTTTATGCCGAGTGTTGTATGGGTGATAATTTGTCTCAGAGGTGCTCAAGCAGTTTTTTACTAGAATAATTGTGTCGTAAATATATTGGCCATATACCGTTAAAATTTTCAGTTCTTTGAATTTGTTTTTGGTTGTTTCATTGTGTTCTAATTTCAAAATTATTCTTATTGCTATTTTTTGAAGTTTAAGTATCCTATCCAAATTTGCTATTGTAGTTGAACCATAAAGGCACAAACCATAGGATAAATGCGAATGGACATTAGCATAATATATGTTTTTTAATGTTTTATGGTTACAAAAATAAGACATTCTAGAGAGTGAATATAGTCCTGAACATAATTTTGAAAGGAGTTTATCAACATGTTCATCCCAGTTTAAATTTTGGTCCACAGTTAGACCTAGAAACTGTGTACTGTGTTTATGTTCAATTTCTTCTGCATTATACATGATATTTGGTTTAATTAACTTTTTATTTTGATTTGTTTTAAAAGTTAAAAAATTAGTTTTTTTAGGATTAAGCTTCAATTTATTTTGCTCTAGAAAGTTTCCAATGTTTGCCAATTCAACAAAACTTAAAATTTCAACTTGTTGCACTGACTCAGCCGATACTTTGAGATTTGTATCGTCTGCATAAAAACAAAGATTGTTCTGAGGTAAACATGAGAGTGCACCACCAGCATCATTTATATAACATAAAAACAACAGGGGGCCAAGGATTGACCCCTGGGGTACACCACATTTAACCCTTTCAGTTTCAGAAGAAAATGCTGTAATTCTGTTATCATGATTATGTGTGATTTCTACAAACTGACAACGATTATTTAGGTATGACTGAAACCATTTTATTGATTTTTTTGTAACCCCTAAAATGAGTAATTTATCTATCAGTTGGGTGTGGTTGACACTATCAAATGCCTTAGTTAGGTCCATGAAAATTCCAATTGTGAACTCCCCTTTATCAACCGATTCAATTATAGATTCTATGAATGACACTGCTGCTGTAATTACAGATTTTCCAGGCCTAAATCCATGCTGAGTATTGTTTAATAGTTTAAATTCTTCTAAATAATTTAATAACTGACAGTTAACAATTTTTTCATAAATTTTTGATATTACTGGTAGGAGAGAAATAGGACGGTAATTTGACACAGTTTCTAGGTCGTCTTTCTTATAAATTGGTATTATTTTAGATTTTTTAAATTGATTTGGAAAAATTCCTGATACAAAAGATGAATTTATTAAATGACTTAAAATATGGCTCAGGCATTTTTTGGCATGCTTTATAACTTTAATAGGGACATCATCGTGTCCAACAGAATGTTTGTTTTTTAAAGAGTTAATTACTTTTTCCACCTCCCCCGCATCAATAAATTTAAAATCAAAACCTCTTTTAATACATTGCTCATTTTCAATAAGACTTTGATTTTCAATCTTGCTCTCACATTGGTTGCCACTGACATCCTGATCAACATTAGTAAAATAATTGTTGAACATGTTGGCAATAGTTCTAGGATCACTTAAGCTACAATTTCCCTCTTTCAAAGTAATATTTTTATTTTTTGTTCCATTTCCTTTCCCAACTTCAGAATTTATAATCTGCCATACTGTTTTTTGTATATTGGTTGATTTTTTTATTTTATTTTCAAAATAATTTGTTTTAGCTCTGACTAATTTTGCCCTATATTTCAGTTTGTTTTGTTTTAACTCGTATTTCAAGGCAGGATTTTTGTTCCTACAAAGTTTTAAGGCCAATTGTAGTAGTTCTTTTTTTTCATTTTTCAGGTCTTCTGAGATCCAATTTTTTTTGCGTTTCTTTTCAGTTACAGTAATTTTGGGAAACGAAATGTAAAAAAAGTGCTTAAATGTACTATAAAATTCATCATATTTTCTTTCAACAGGAGCCATGTAAACACTCTCCCAAATCTCGTTTCCAAGAGGTTTTTAAATAAATTCAAATTTTGAATATTGAAGTTACGAGTTGTACGTTTTATAGTTGATTGAACCTCTTTTGTATTATTTAGGTTTTTATTTTTTATAAGGAGCAATTGCCCATCATGATCTGATAGACAAGTTACAATTCCCTCAACAGTCACCTTGCAATCATGACAATTTTTAATTATAAAGTTATCAATTGCTGATTCAGATTCCTCAGTAACTCTGGTTGGGAAATTGACCAGATACCTCATTTTATGAACTTTTAATGTTCTTTTTAGTAATTTATGATTAGGGTTATTTTTTAAAACATCAATGTTTATATCCCCTCCCAAAATTATATTAACAAACTTTTTGGAAAAGTGGGAAATTAACATGCTCAATCTATCTAAAAATATTTCACAATCCGAGCTAGGTGACCTATACACTCCAATTGCCAAAATTTTAAATCCGTCAATTATATAGCTACAGGCACAAAATTCGAATTGCTTATCTTGAAGTAAACTACCAGACAACCAATTTGGAACATCCACCCGCTTCCACTTTAAACCCTTCAGGGAAAGCATAACGACGCCACCCTTGAAACATGTTTTTCTACAATAAAAATTGTTTACATCATAATCTTGTATATTGAGTCTGTTAATTTCATTTTCCTTCATATCGTGTTCTGTTAAGATTACAATATGAGGAGTTAATTCATTTATAGTCACTAATAAAGGTTCGATCCTTGATGGTAAGTGCTGAATATTTTGATGGAATATTTTTATTACATTTTTTTCTGTTTGTACGTTTTTGTTGAGATTATTATTACTGATGGGTTTAAAGTGGGAGCGGGAGTCGCCATTACAAATCATGTTGCTATCACTTGTATTGGAGTTTCCAATAAAAAACCAGAGCCACTATCACTCACAACCCCAGAGAGAATCTGCCCCCCATCACTTGACACAGGCGCAGGCCGCTGCAGCTGATCTGGATCTGGTGTAACAGGGGGTGCTTGTAGAGGGGGGAAGTCCACCATTGAGCCAATTGTGACATCATGACCAGAACCAACAGCAGCAAGGGGTGATTGGCAATTAGCAGTCTCTTGAGATTGCAGAGTATAGGATTCTTGGACATTGTCGCTGGCTGCTTCATCCTATCATCCACTGGAGTTGGCTCTATTGAGCCCAGATTGCTGGTTGAAGTTGTATGATGGGTGTGAATAGTGTTCAGGGAATGTGATAGAGTAGAGGTTTTTGCCATTATACAAGGACCAGGGAAAGAAACAGATTGAGTGTTTATATTTATCCATTTATAAAGCTCTTCTCGTATACTATTTTTAAATTCCTGGTAGCTCAATCCATTTTGCAAAGTTCTACTTGATTCTTCATCCTGTATTATTACTGTAACTGGCTTCCCAGTGATACGATGCAATTTTACTAAGTTTTTCACAAAATTTTGAACACTAATATTATCCCTGACACACCCCATGGGTGAACACACAAGTCTCTTGTATTTCCTTAGCTTGAAATCATCTATTAATTTACTGAAGGCTGTGTTGTAATCAGTTGTCTTTGGTTTACCATTGTATGTTGCCTTGGTTACAACACCATACACTGCTGCTCCGTTTTCATGTTCTTGTAGTGTTAAGTACTTATTAAGTAGATTGGCGGTCCTTGGTCTACCAAACGCTTTTCGGAAAGAAACAGCAACACCAGCTGTCATATTTCTAGGACTGCTTAGATCACCAGAAATACAATGAGAGAATGCTACATCACCGTTGCTCCTAAGACCATCCACAATGTCACTCATATTGGATTCCATTACTTCTATTCTGTCTTGATTTTTTAAGAGAATATTAGCCTTTCTGTTAGTAATCAACCACCGAGATAAAGCATTTAAAATTTTATGAGCCACAACATTTTTTCCCTCGTTATTGAAGTGCAGGCCATGTGATGTAAAATGCTTTTTCCTCAATGTGTTTAACTCAATCAAATAGACATTACTCATTCTTTGTACGGTTCAAAGTCAAAGTCAAAGTCAAAACATTCTTTATTCATTATAGTTTCACATTACATGAACTTGAATAGAGTCATAAGCTAAATTCAAAATTGCTTACTGCTAATTAAATACATAAAAAGAGTACTAAAATTACTTTACTTGAACTTTTAACAAAACCATGACTTTAAGGATAACAGTATTTGGAATTCAAATTAAGTTAGGCCTAACTGTTTTTTACTAATACTAAAGAATTCTGTTACTGAGTAGCAGGGAGTTCTTAAAAAATATTCCTTTAAGAGCTTCTTGAATTTATTAAATTTTGTTTCTTTTCGGATGTGAGCTGGTATAGACTGGAGAAATTTTAGCCCTATGTAAGATGCCTTTTTAGTGTAAAATTCGAGATTATGCCGAGGTAGGTTAATTTTTAATCTGGTGTTATATACTAATTGTTCTGTTGAGCTGGATGATAGTTGGATCTGTTTTGCATAAATTATTGTTTCATAAATATAAAGACTATAAACTGTTAATATTTGTAATTCACGAAAGATGCTCTTGACTGGCTCTTTCTTTTTAAGATTTTTCATCACCCTGATAGCTTTTTTCTGCTTAATTAGTACTTTATCTAAATTAGTTTTTGTTGTTGCCCCGTATAGAACAATTCCATATGAAATATGTGAATGTATTAATGAGAAATAAACAACTCTTAAAGTGTCTAAACTGCATACTCTGAACATCTGTCGCAGCGCATGGATACCGGAAGATACCTTTTTAACCACATAGTTCACATGGCCCTCCCAAGATAGATGTTTATCGATAATTAGACCAAGAAATTTTGTTTGCTTTACTTGGTTTATTCTTTCTGATTTTATGCAAATGTTTGGTTCAAAATTTTGTCTACGTTGTTTAGTGGAAAATGATATAAAATTGGATTTTTCTGTGTTAATAAGCAGATTTTTTCGGTCAAGGAATTCTTTAGTGGATAAAAGACTCTCCTGAGAAAACGTTTCAATCTGTTGTTTTGATCTTCCGGGAATAAGCACATTACAATCATCAGCAAACAGACACATAGACCCGCCGTTACCAGGAATCGCTCCTGGCATACCTCTAATATAGCAGAGAAAAAGTAGAGGCCCCAGGATCGATCCCTGCGGCACCCCATATTTCAGCGTCTGATGCTGAGATCTACATTTTTCAACGTACTTTGTGTTTGCATGCTCCACAACATAATCCAGTTCAACAAATTGGTTTCTGTTTTCTAGATATGATGTAAACCATGCAAGCTCTTTTCCATAGATTCCCATTTCTTTTAGTGAAGTCAACAATATACTATGTGACACGCTGTCAAATGCCTACTAAGATCCAAAAAGATTCCTACAACATTTTCTCCTCTGTCAACAGCATTTATTATAGTTTCTATGAATTCAATACCAGCTGTTATTGTTGATTTGCCCTGCCGAAAGCCATGTTGTTCTTTATCAAATAGTTGATTATTTTCCAGATATTTATAGACCTGAATGTAAACAATGCGTTCAAAAATTTTTGAAAAAACAGGTAAGAGAGAGATAGGGCGGTAACAGGAAGGATCAGTTTTATTACCTTTTTTAAAAATGGGAATTACTTTAGCCAATTTTAATTTTGAAGGAAAGATTCCTGAAATAAGAGAAGAGTTTATGATATGTGTTAGTGGTTTCTGGATAATGTGTATTGATTTTTTAACTATGGTGATTGGAATTTCATCAAAACCTGCAGAGTACTTGTTTTCAAAGGAAAGGACCACTTTAGTGAGGTGTTCTTCCGTTATTGTGTGAAACTTAAATGACTTATCTGTAGGTAAAATATTTTTCTGGATATCTGTTTTTTGTGTAAGTGAAGGAGAAATGTGTGGCAATATAAGCTTTTCCACAGCTGATGGTTGATGATGAGCGGTTTCGATTATATAACTGTTTGCAAGTTTTAATTCTTGATTAACTGTATCTTTTAGTGCTATTTCATATCTGATAGGTATAGTGGTCATAAATGTGGGTCTTGTAGCACTTAAAATGGTAAGTTTCTTTTCTAAGTTCTGATAGATGTCCTTGAAGTTACGATTTAGACTATCGTTGCTGCCTCCGAGGATTATAACGGGACTAGAATCATGTGTTATTGATGCTGAATCAACAACCTGAGTCAGAGTGGTGTTCGCTCTGATATATCCAAAAACCTGAACTTTCTGATTACTTAAAGTTTCTAGCTTGATTGGTAAGTTTGCTCCTTGACTGTCTGAGCAGAATGTAACCTTTAAGTCTGAAAGAACATTCTTGTTTGGTCTATTAGAGTTGAATCTCAAACCAGCGGTTTTTCCTTTTTTGTGAACATTTTTAGGGGCATTATTTAATTTATTCTCATTTATACAGCCAGGTGGCGAAAATGTATCTTTGCTTCCTGGCAAGCTGTCCAAAACTGAATATTTGTTAACATGAGTAACGTTGATGTTTGGTAATGTGTGAGTTCTTTTTTCACTTTTTTGGCCACTGTTTGGGTTATTGTTTTTCCTTCGCCGAACCGATGACCATTCATCACAAGTCAAGCTAGGTGAAGTTTTTGACAAATTTCCAACTGTGGATGTTCCATTGCTCATCTGTGCTGATGATTTGTGATTATCACCTACATTTTTAGTTAATGCTCTATAATTAAAATTGTATATAGTATAATTTTAAAACATGTTAAATATTATCATAGATCAAGATTTCCACAGTTTTGTGTTGGAAAATATTCCAGGAACAGCCGATATTATTTAATTTACAATAGATCATTTGATTGTATGGTAAAACTTAAAACAAAATGAGTCTAATACTGCGCAAAACTGGTTTTTTTTCAGTGTTTGTTATTTTATTACCAATGGATGTAGTAATTAAAAACCTTCTCATGCATGTAGAGAATACATTGTAATAGTTTCATCATAATCTGTTTTGTCGTTTTCGCAGAGAAGAAAGCGTAAAATGCCATCTTGAGTGTTACAGAAAGACAGACAGAAATTAAGATAAAACACGTTTTGTCCATCCTATCGTATGAAATGAAAAAATAACCGAAACATTTATGATTCTACGCAATGTACAGACAGAACTCTAATTTTATTTATATAGATTGTAAACTGTGTCCTTTGTTTGTATTTTTGGAATAGTCTCCAATTTCATTCATCTGGTTCGGCAAAGTTTTGATTTTTAAGATAAGAACAAAATATAAACTAATTCTAATTTGATTTTTCACCAAAAATAACTCTTCTAGTTGAAATAAACAAACGGTATCAGCTAACTGGCAAATTATTTCTGCCATTAGCGTAAAGAGGCGACTGAGAGCTTCCAATTATTCTTCGCACTCTTCTAACCCGGCTGCCTGTACCACGCCTCTTGGTTTGGCAGTCATACACGTCACACAGAATGTTGATCTCTTGTCAGCAGAACAATCAATAGAACAAAAGGACAACCATCTATAAATATCTCATTGCAATTTCGTCGATAAAACATTTTTATTAGTAGACATTTTACTACAGAGGTATATTTCAACAAAAATGGGACGTGTTAATTTTGTGAATTTACTTGTTTCAGGCTAAACCAGCATTGCTTGGACACAGCATTTAATTTTTACAAAATGGCACTCACCAGACAAATGACTAGAGGAAGGAAAAACACACACGTGCTTGCAGCTTGTGTCTACATCACATGCAGAATAGAAGGCACGCCTCGTATCCTTTATAACCAACCAATCAACCGTCATCCCAATAATTTATGCAATAACAGATAGGACTAGAACATGGAGTTTTGCAAGATCAAAGTGTATGTTTTGTTCTCTAGGTAAATCAATGGTTTTATGCCAAGATAGGTTTAAAATTAAATTGTCATGCGTGATTCCAGTATGCAAAAAGTCATTCATAGAGCTGTCAAAAGTTTCATGGAAATTTTTCTGTATAAAAAAAAACATATACCTACAATACCTACCATATTTTAGCTTGCAAAAATACCATGTTGATTCGAGTCTTATTTGCAATAAATTTTTAATAACGCTAAACCTACAAAAAAATTCATATTAGCTGATGGGAAATTAAGTAGGCCTAAAGAATACAGAGATGCCAACGTATAAGCTAGTTTTCTTGTTAAACGTTTTAAAGTTAGTTGTAATTATTTGGGTTAAATTAAAAAACACCATGTAGGCTATATTAGACTAATATTTAATGCACCACCACCGTATTAAATTCATTCTGGCTTTTATTTAAACAAGCGGACAACTTTTCTCCGACTCCGCTATACACGATACATAGATTCGTTCACTCATCTATCAAATATGGTAAGCAAACCTTGATTTTGATTTTACTAGCTATTATAACTAAGACAGAACAGATGCCTCCTTCAATCTTAGGAAGCGCTGTGTTTTTTATAATCTGGTTTGAGTGAATTTACAACATATTAAAAATCAGAAACACATTGCTGCCCTTACAATAGGTACTTATATTTGAAGTCTCCATCTTTGAAGTTATAAATTTGTCAATAAACACATATAGTTACATTATTTACATTTTTAACAATGGCATGGCAGATGTATTTTAATAATATGATTATAAAATAGGCTCCTCACTTCAACAAATATAGTGGCATATTCACTTTAGTGACCCCCACATAGTACATAGTTAATTGAGCGGAGCGAGCGAAGCTCTTATATGTCGACTCTTATGCATTTCGTAATACGCAAACTCCTCCTAGACGACTGAATCAATCGTTTTCAAATTTTGCATGGTGATAAAGACCATATCGATGAGTGCATACATCTATATGGCGTTAAAAAAATATCTCACGAATCCGCCCCACTGGGTCTCAAAGTTTCAATGTACCTAATCCTTATGGAAGCAGTATTTGACACATAAACAAAAACATCAGCTGTTGACTTTTGAATGCAGTAGATATAGACATAGATAAAACATACTCCCTTAGTAGATTTCTCATCCTAATGGAACAGCTGAAGACAATTTTATTGTTAGTTCTGTACGGTTTATGTTAGAGGTCGTGTTTTGTTTACAATTTGTTTCCCGTTAATACAGTCATTTAAAACCTCGTTTAACCAAATAATACGATCTAATCATAAACAATAATTTGTCCCCTAGTTATTTAACCAAACAGTAAAGCACAAATCAAGAAATTAACCCTAAAATAATAGAAACAAAATTTCGTCGACACTAGCGCCCAGTGTGGCGTACATGAACTAGACATGAAAAACGAGCTTCAAAATTTACAATGGGATGAGAAGTCTACTTGTGTTGGTTAGTCTATGATATAGAAATAGCTGATAGCATTAATCCACAGATATTAGAACAGAAACGGTATGGATCATAAATATAATCAAATGACGTCACTAGCTTGAGGTCCGTGACGTAGGAAGTGGTGAAGGAAGTAGTAAAGGTGAGTAGTCTGGAGTGTGGAAACTGTTTATGACGATTAGATTTAGGTATCTGCAATCCTAAAATGCTATTGGAAGGGAAGGAAACAGGTCCGTGACGTAGGAAGTGGTGAAGGAAGTAGTAAAGTCGAGCTGTTCGGTGTATGGGATCTGTTGATGACCATTAGATTAAGGTATTTGCAATCCTAAAATGCTATGGGAAGGGAGGAAAACAGGTCCCCGACGTAGGAAGTGGTGAAGGAAGTAGTCAAGGCGAGCTGTCCTGAGTGTGGAAACTGTTTATGACGATTGAATAAGGTATCCACAAATCTAAAATGCTATGGGAAGGGAGGAAAACATGTCCGTGACGTAGGAAGTGGTGAAGGAAGTAGTAAAGGCGAGCTGTCCGGAGTGTGGGAACTGTTATGACGATTAGATTAAGGTATTTGCAATCCTAAATGTTATGGAAAGGAAGGGAGACAAGTCCGTGACGTAGGAAGTGGTGAAAGAAGTAGTAAAGGCGAGTTTTTCGGAGTGTGGGAACTGTTTTATGACGAATAGATTAAGGTATCTGCATTCCTAAAATGCTATGGAAAGGGAGGGAAACAGGTCCGTGACGTAGGAAGTGGTGAAGGAAGTAGTAAAGGCGAGTTGTCCGGGGTATGGGATCTGTTACCATTAGATTAAGGTATTTGCAATCTTATGATGCTATGGCAATGGAGGGAAACAGGTCCGTGACGTAGGAAGTGGTGAAGGAAGTAGTATAGGCAAGCACTCTGGACTGTGGGAACTGTTTATGACGATTAGATTAAGGTATCTGCAATCCTAAAATTCTATGGAAAGGGAGGGAAACAGGTCGGTGACGTAGGAAGTGGTGAAGGAAGTAGTAGAGGCGAGTTGTCCGGAGTGTCGGATCTGTTTATGACGATTGAATTAAGGTATTTGCAATCCAATAATGCTAAGGGAAGGGAGGTAAACAGGTCCCTGACGTAGGAAGTGATGAAGGAAGTAGTAAAGGTGAGTTGGTCGGAGTGTGGGAACGGTTTATGACGATTAGATTAAGGTATCTGCAATCCTAAAATGCTATTGGAAGGTAAGGAAACAGGTTCGTGACGGAGGAAGTGGTGAAGGAAGTAGTAAAGTCGAGCTGTTCGGTGTATGGGATCTGTTGATGACCATTAGATTAAGGTATTTGCAATCCTAAAATGCTATGGGAAGGGAGGAAAACAGGTCCGCGACGTAGGAAGTGGTGAAGGAAGTAGTCAAGGCGAGCTGTCCTGTGTGTGGAAACTGTTTATGACGATTGAATAAGGTATCCACAAATCTAAAATGCTATGGGAAGGGAGGAAAACATGTCCGTGACGTAGGAAGTGGTGAAGGAAGTAGTAAAGGCGAACTGTCCGGAGTGTGGGAACTGTTATGACGATTAGATTAAGGTAACTGCAATCCTAAAATGCTATTGGAAGGGAGGGAAACAGGTCTGTGACGTAGGAAGTGGTGAAGGAAGTAGTAAAGGCGAGCTGTCCAGAGTGTGGGAACTGATTATGACGATTAGATTAAGTTATCTGCAATCCTAAAATGCTACGGAAAGGGAGGGAAACAGGTCCGTGACGTAGGAAGTGGTGAAGCAAGTAGTCAAGGCGAGCTGTCCTGGGTTGTGGGAACTGTTTATGACGATTAGATTAAGGTATCTACAATCTTAATATTCTATGGAAAGAGAGGGAAACAGGTCCGCGACGTAAGAAGAGGTGAAGGAAGTAGTAAGGTGAGCAGTGTGGAGTGTGGGAACTGGAAACCGTTTGTAGCAGTTATAATATGTACCTGCAATGCTAAAATGCTATTAGAAGGGATGGTTACATGTCCACGACATATAAAATTGTGTAAAGAAGTAGTAAAGGCTAGCAGTGCGGAGTGTGGTCAATGTTTGTGGCAGTTAGATTAATATATCTTCAATCCTAAAATGCTATGAGAAGGCAAGGAAAGAGGCCCCTCGACGTAGGAAGTGGTGAAGGAAGTAGTAAAGGCTGACAGTGCAGAGTGCGGGAACCGTTTGGCCAGTTAGATAAATGTATCTAATACTTAAATGTTATGAGAAGGGAAGGAAACAGGTCTATGACGTTGGAAATGGCGAATGAATTAGTAAGGCTTGCAGTGCAGAGTGTGGGACTTCTTAGTTTTATTACCTCCTTAATAGATCAGATTTATTAATAGAATTATTGTATGAAATATGAATAGTTACTGCAAAACATAATAAAACATAAAATATAATCCTCCTTCGTGGTTTCTATTTTATAATTTAACTTGCACTTTTTAAACCTAGTGTTAATTTTTACTACTAAATGTTGGGATTTCAGGGGGGGGGGGTTTGACTCCCTAACCCCCCCCCCCTGTATACGGCCTTGCCTTAGTATATATCCCTTATTATTGATAGGATAATTCAATGTCTAGTAGGCCCATATTTGTGTTTACTCAGGAAACTATATATTTCTTTCAGATTTATAACTTGTGAACTAACATAGCCATAAAGTCAATGGTTTAGGCTAACACTGAATTGTGGACCTTGTTAGGAAAATTTTTAACTCTTTCTCAACTTATCATTCTTTATTAAAATGTTGTTAAATGTGAATGGTATTTGCCTAGAATCAATAAAAAAACATTAATCAATCAAGAATACTTTTATAATCACACCAATTGTTGATTACTGCATAGTGATAAAAAAGTATATTCTTAACTTTTCTTTGTATATTGTAGTTTGCTCCTTGACATGGTTCAGATTTATTAATTGACTTCAGCGATGTTCTCCAAATTGATGCATTTGAGCTGGGCCGTTGTTACCTGAAGCTTTCACAAGCTCTTTGTATAAACATCCCTTCATTAGGTAAGTACTTGCAATATCATGGAAAATATTGTATTTTTTTCATTTAATTAATCAGTTAAATATACTCTTATAACTTATGTATATCAGTTGGAAACGTGTCTCTAGCATTATGTGTCGGTAGCAATCAGCAGATTTTGGGAGTGATTGTTAGAGTCGAAAATAATCAAAACTCTGCTGAGTCAGGAGCTAACGGTTGCCTCATACTTTGTTTTTACAAATTAGCACCCAAAATTGTTTCCATCGTCTATGCTAAGAGGGCTAAATAAAGTTCTCCTTCCAACTCCTGTCACAGTCAAACATGTTAGAACGTGAGACTGTTGTGTTCCCCACTACTAGTGTGTATCCACAACTATTATAACTGTTTCTCACCCCTTTTAGATGATAATATTGCAGGGCCGGATTTAGCATTTTGGCGCCCCTAGGCCCAAATAACTTTTCCGCCCCCTATAGTCTAGTCACAGTTTCTTTCCTACAAACCTTTTATTAAAAACTCATGCCTATAGGCCTATGTTAATTGCTTGAACACCACTCCTCGTCGGAATTTTATCATTGCAAGTTTTTTAAGAATTGTCTTAGTTAGCCTTAACAAAATGCCGTCTGAAACACTTTTGTCAATTGACAATTTTATCCTTTTGGCAAATTCTCACGCTTTTGGGACTGAAACAAAATAATCCAACCCACAGAGCATTCCTGCAAAAATACATATCCATTGATTCCGATTTCAGGCCCCAAAACATGAACTCCATAATAGTACTTGATACCATAGGTTAAACATACTCCTTTAGTAGATTTTTCATATTTAGGGATAAGCTGAAAACAATTATTTTCTATTTAATTTATTTAAACCTAGTTTGTCCAAAATAAAACGATGTAATCATAAACAATAGGTCGTCCTCTGGTTATATTACAAGAAATTAAAACACACAACATAGAACTATCCCTAAAATAATAGAAACAAAATTACGCCAAAAGTAACTTCCATTGTCACCAACATATATGAACTAAACATGAAAAACAATATTTAGAATTAACAATGTGATAAAAAGTCGACTTAAGTTTATGGTTAATCTATGGTAGTACTGCATCCAGATTATATTTGCAAAGGCAAAGGCTAACAAACAAAGCAATAGTCCGCCGACCATAATTATCCTCAGGTCTAAGCTGAGGAGAAAATGACACTATTAATGGTGCTTTGGAGGGGATTTAATTTTTCTAAAACCTGTTGCAAACTCAGATAAATATTTTTTTGTTATTGAATTTTAAAGATAAACTTATCGTATTTTTAATATTCAACAAAACGTATTATATATTTTAACATGACCCTGCAGGTAAACTGATCAAAAGATTAGTTAATAAATTTTATTTTTGTGAGGTGAGGGTGGTAACACGCATGCGCCCCTAATCACTCTGATCAGTAGTGCCGAGCCCGAGCCAGCATAGTGGCAGTGCAAAGAGTACTGTGGCAATACCACGATGCGTACCGCTCGACAACATCCCTACAGCCTACTCCAATGTTCGTATAACCAATGTTCGTTACCAATGTTGTAACGAAAAATGTTTAAAACTAGTTTAAATTTTCTAACAGTTATTTCTTCCAATGAATTTCAAAATTATAATGCTTTATTAGCAAGAATTTTTTATCAACTCGCAAAATATGTTAAGCTATGGCTATTTATTCCATTTTTAGATATTAAAAAAATTCCTCTCGGCCGTGCGCCCTCTGGGAGCTTGCGCCCATAGGCCCGGGCCTACCGGGCCTATTGGGAAATCCGGCCCTGTAATATTGTCATAGTAGGTATTTAAAAACGTCATGAAAGAATATTGACATTTCCGCCAAGTATAACAAAATAATAAAATTTCTTCGTCAATAATAAAATTTCTGTGGTCTCTATCGTCCACTGCTATTCAAGCCAGTACAAAATTTTGCGCAATGGGTGGATGTAAACATTTGCATGGCGTAGACCCAACTGCGGTCCTTCATCAGTCTTGTTTGATGGCGTGACCAAAGTTAGGGGAACTTTCCATGCGGATCGTGGTGTGACTGAGCAAGAGAGATTGTCAAATTAATAGGGTCTCTCTACAAGACTATCAGAGGAGAGTTTCAGCACAACCTGTACAGTATATACTATTCTGACAGTTCTAAGGCAAACCAGATGCTTCGCAAATAAATGTCACGTGGATATTTTTTTAGTCTAGGCCTATATCTGATATCTGGTGATAAAAACAGCAGCATTATAGATCTTTGAGCCGTAGCCTTAAGGTAAAATTGAAAGCTACTTTCTACACTAGTTAAAAGTAGTTTTTAAATGCTAACTCACCTACACTTTAACCAAGGCGTTCTTATCTTTTTTGTGAAATGTGGAGAAATAACAACACTAATGGGTTACCAAAAGACATCCACACAAACATACTAGTAAAAATTAGAATTGAGTGAGAAAATTTACAACGCTAACTAAACCACCAAGACCCTACAAGACAGACAATTTAGACATTTAGATAAGACTCATTTCAGCTTATTTAGGCCATACAACTTAAAAATAATCAAAAACTTCATGATTTTACCTAATGTACAGACAAAATAATGTAGGCTAACGTAATGCACAGGCTGTTTTTTTTTATAGAAGATAAACGTTAAATAAAGCAGCTAGCACCTTTAGCGAATATGTAGGAGAGTACAAAGAAAGGGATTTTTTTACAGTCTTGAATTTCATGATACTCTTGTTTTCAAGTTATACAGAGTCTGGGTGCCTCATATTCTTCACAAAATTACTATTTGAATCAACCCCTTTTGTGACTGTTTGGAACTTGCGAGCAAAATAATGTGGAAGCAACACAAAATTGGGGTAAAATCTTCCAATTTGACTTCACAAACTGTGATTTCAGTTTAGCATTGCATAACCATAAGCGTTACAAAATTTAGATACCCTTCAAGAGAAAACATACCTTGCCAACGTGTGTTAAGTTAATATCCAAGCAAACATTTTCACTCTAATGTCGTTCTATTTTTGCATTACTGTCTTAATGTTTTTACTTAGGTTTGGTGTCAATTAACAATATTCGACTTTGAATATTATTGAGCAAATTATGATTATTCTGATAATGACTATGAGAGTCAGAGCTCAGACATAGATGTCCTTGGCTCGCTGAAGCTCCTGAGGTCCCTGAACATTGTCCAACTAGATCTAAATGAAACACACCAACGAACCTAAACCAAAAAGTACCCAACATATCAGTTCCATGTTTACCGTCATACAACATGGCATGAAATAGCCAGGCAGGAGTCCCGTTATGGGAAGACTGTATAATTGTGTGTGGTGCCATGCTTCAGAGAGTAAGGGAGTATGTTTTATCTATGGTATAATACTCTGAAGCACTTGTAGAACATGAAAAGTAACTTTTGTACAGTGTATATAACTTTCCAACTTTTAATTAATATTTTTTAAGTCAGTTAAATATTTATGGATATGTGTAGATTACCTAAACATTCATACATTACCTGTGTGAATTATGATATTTATCACTTATCAATATCATAGATGACTTTTGATAGATGATGATTTTTGGACTTAAAATTGTGGTTTTTTAGATAAATTCCCCCCCCCCAAAAAAAACAGCCGAAATTTGCAATGATTTGCCAAAATACTAAATTGCTGGGCTCATGACGGACGTAATTATCGGCACACCAAATGACCATTGCACGTTAACTTTGGCTTAATGGGTTAAAAATTAGGATAAAGAGGATTGTTACTCTTCATGATCTAATGTTGGATACGTGTTAAGTTCTGAATCTTAAACTTAAAATATTTTTTATAGTGCATAGGCGATCAAGAAATAATACATCATTACCATCGCTGTTTTGTTTTCAAGTTTTGTATTATTATGTAATTTATTGTAATAGCAATTTCAAATAATACAAGTTGAAACTAGTGTACATGTTCTTCTACTTTATTATTTAAATAATTACTTGAAATAAATATCTTACATTCTTTGTTATTTGCATTGTTATTAAAATTTTAAGTATATTTACAACTCAACTCATTTAGAATATAAATTTTTAGGACTTTATAGTAATCCTCTTAAAAATAGAGAAATAAAATACAAACTTTCTGGAAGTAGGAAAGTCTTGACATTTGAATTAATGATTTAATAACTTACTTACATTCTAAATATACTCTAATGATTAGAACAATGTGATAGGTCAAATTATTTATCAATATACTGTGCCTAATTGACTGTAATCTACATTCCTACTCGCTTTTTAACACTCAAAAGATCGCTAAATACATGAAAATATGTTTTAAAAACCTAATATTAAGTGCATCTGAAGGTATTTTTGTAAAATTTTTCCAATTGGTGTGCACTGGATAAATTAGGAGAATCATCAAGTCAAGGTGTACAATCAGTGTTCATCTGTTGTGAATGTAGATGGCCCGTAGAAGATGAGGTCGGGTATCTGGCCTCCCTGCACCCCAGTTCCGTTGGTACTCTCTGAGGAACATTGGAACTGGAACGTGACACAACCCACCGTTACCTCGCTGAGGCCCTCCTGGCCAAAGTAGCTCAGTTCCACACCGTCCAGCACTGCAGACGCTGTGTAGAACGACTCGGGCTCTATCTGTATCGGATGCTCAAAGTACACGTGAAATGTGTTACTGGAACCGTCGGAAAAGAACTTTGTGTTGTTTTCAGCAAGGACCCGTCCCAACCGTTTCAATTCAATTTTTACACTGTAATCTGCAGCACCGTTGGAAGAACCGTAAAGTCCAAACCCTACAATGAATATTCGTTTGTCGACACTAAACTGAATGCTGTCACAACGACCTCGATACCGCCACTGATTGCTGCGATAGGCACAAGACTGAAACCTGTGACAGACCTGGAAGAAGAAAAATTATGTTAATCTACAATGAATAGCCCAAATTAAAAATACATTTGGAATTCAAGTGTCATTAACATTCCTGCTACATATATTGTTCATCCAAACATAAAAAGTTGGGAGGCAAAATAAAACATAATCCCTGATATTTTTATTCTTTAACACCAAACAACTGAAACTTAAGTTTACAAAATGAAAAGAAGACTTTCAATTTACTGTAATTCAATGAGTACTGCTATTTAGATCTTAGAAATTGTTTCAACATGGTGACAATGTAATCAGTGAGTGGATCTAATGCGCTGTTTGGACTTTTCATATAGGCTAATAGATATATTAGTTAGTGTTTGAACCTACCTGGGGTTTGAGTCCAGCTCGAGGTTTTGTAGGATAGTTCAAATGTGGTTTGTTATGTGCAGTGAAGTGTAGAAATAAGTCAATAGTCTCTTGCTGGGTTAAGATTCCAAGTTGTGCGGCTCCATTAGCGAACTCATCGAGGCTCATTGTGGGTATTCGAACTAGGTAAAGAGCTGAACCTAACACTTGGCGTTTGTTTTGTGCGGTGGGTTCCAAGTCTCTACGAACACATTCTGCAGCAGCCCAACTCAAAGCCGCCTCAAACAGATGCATTTCTTTACAGTTTAGAGTTTCACGGCCCAACACACTTTCCAAAGTGTTAAGGTCTATATCAACAAAGCCTTCTGAATGGAGTGCCATTTCTGCCTGGAATTCAAAAGAAAAAATGTATTAGTATAACAAATTTATTATCTTGTTCTTGTACTTTGACATGCTACTATGATCTTCACATCCAACAATACAAAAATATGTGCATCAGAACTAAAACTGTTTTCAAATTCAATATGAAAAAATAAAAAAAAGTGATCCCTTAACGGAAAAGGGTCAGTTAATACTGACATTCACGGAAGATGAAAGTGTTTAAGAAAAATGCATTAGAAACTAATCATCTAGAAACCATGATATTAGCAAAGATAATGAATTTTCTATATGTAAACTCATATTTATTTGAATCGCACCCAGGTAGGTTATCATTCCATGTGTTAATAGATCCACTAATGTTTAATGTTTTACAGAGAGCCAACGTCAATACAGTCTCTCACGTTACCTTTTGACATGAAATAGGACATATACATGCACATTTAACGCTGGAATACAGTATATATAAACATAGCAGGCATACAGAAATGAAATTAAGACGGAAAAGAATATATAAGTATCAGTTCAATTTGATCACAAATTTAAAGCTGCATTGAGTGTTACTAGTATGCATGAGGGTTTTTTGAGGGTTTTTTAAGCGTATATACAAAGTTTATAAAGAAAAATTATATAGAGTTTAAAACATTTTCTGAAATAACAAATGACAGTTTAGACATGCAAAGCAACACTTAGGAAAAGGAAAGAAGTAAGGGGCTGACCCACCTGGAAGCAGCTCTTCTACTCAGCAGCTGGATCCAACCCCTTACTTCCAACCCCTATCATCTTAAAATCAATTGCTTCTTTTGAAAAATCATAAAAGAAAGAAATAAAAAAAAACATGACTGACACTCTGTAACAACTGATACATATTTAAACTCTGATGTTAGTTGACATCAGAGTTTGTTGACATTTTTCAATAAATTCACTTTTCTGATTCAATAATATTTTTTGCCCAAACTGAGGTAAATAAACATTACTGCCACCTTTAAAAAATGTAATATTTTCTATGTGTAAAAAAATATTCAATATCAGGAACAAAGAAGTCACACTATATTTGCATACTTATTAAAACTAGTAAACACGTTGCTCGAAATCGAGCAATTGCAAAGAAGTAAAGTAGTTATTTAAAAACAAAGTGATCATAATTTAGACTTTGAATTGAAAAATAAATAACAGCAGTTAAATAATACAGCTGATCAAAATGTAAACAATTATGTTCTTCATAAGGATAACATGGGAACTTTAACAGCCACTGGGGAAGAGCCCAAGGGACTTTTTCAAAAATGTAAGGCCAGTTTGCAAATCTACGTGACACGCTCTTTCCAATGAGACGTCAATGGATAAAATCAGTTAAGAAATGGCGGAGGAGTTCAACCGACAAAGTTATATGTAGCGTATTAATTATATAGATTGTACGTTACAAAATTCTTGAGTAGCCATAAAAATTTTTTTGTGAAAACGGAAAAATGTCTCAGAATGACCTCTTTAGAGCAGATCTTTTGTTATATGTTCTTATTTAGTCCAGTAATACAACTTAAACAATTACAGTATATTACACATGTTATCAATTATACAGCATAAACATCTGAAACTATACATCATAAAACAGTTTTCTTCCTTTTGTTTTGTGAATGTCAATTCCTTTAATATGCAAACTTGAGTTAGTTCAGCAATTGTCTAAATGACCAGTGTTTACAAGACTTATTGCCAAACTTAGCTTTTTTATAAAATACAAATTTATGGGTCTATTTATTGTATCCATTTCCAAAGTTTGCAAACATTGTATTTATTTTTTTTTTTTGGGGGGGGGGGGGTTCTGATTCCTTGGCTGTAATTTATTATTCCACATCTACCTTGCAATATGAAGATTCCATAAGCCATGTATTTCAAAGTTTTCGGGGTTATTAGCCGTTTTAAAAACCTTGAACGCTCCACTTCGCTAATTTTTACTTTTATCTTGCGGTATTACTACCTATATCAGTTATAAAACTAAACAGTGAAAATCCAAATAATTAATCCAAAATATAAAAGTATCTTTAAAAAAGTATAAAGGTGTAGAATTAGGTGATAGTACACAAGTTGTTTACGCAACCCACATGGCAAGAAACATGTTGTTTTATTAACTAATGCTGATGGTAAAACTATCTCCCAAACCTATAGAGCAAAGTGAACATGGAATTGAGTATAGGTCATACATAACACAAACCCTTCCATACATACACTGAGGTATTACTTACGTCGCTAAAATCTATGTGTCGTTTAATTTTCTTAGACAATTTTTTAGATTTCTCTTAGCCATTTATGATACCTAAATGGGATACAGACCAATTGCTGCAAACAATGACATGGTTTGGAAACTGTTTACTGTCCCTTATAATTTACTTTTACATTTCTTGGAGCCAAATCATACAATTATCAGTAGTTTAGGATACACCCCCCCTCCTTAATAAATTCTGAATTATTCTTTCTAGAAAATTAAAAATTTTTGAATCATACAATTTTAAATGAGTATAATGTATATGCTATTAAAACACGTTCAGTCCATTTTTTTTTTTTTACTGAAATTCATAAAGTTGATATCAATCTACAGTAGAATGTTGATAATTTGGGAATCAAAAATCCGGACCGTCAATAATACAGATTTGTCTGCGAGAAAGACAATTTTTTACGGTTTTTTAAAAAGGGATTTGGATCGTTTCCTTTCAAAATATATTGCCATTACCATGGTATCACAAAAAATAAAAAAACAAATTAAGGACTTAGCTGTAAGAAAAGGGACAGTACCTCAGTTCAAAAGCTTATTACACATATTTTTAGAAAGCTAAAATTTTTAACTTAGTGCCTGAGGTTTTTGTTTTTACTGTACACTGTACACATGTTGCTATAAAATAAATACGATACAGTCTCAAACATAAAAAAAATATTTCATCTCTTTTCGACCATTTATTGCACAATAACAGAAAATATAAAATTTAAAAATGTTTTACTCAAATCGTGTCTGCTGGCCCTGTTTAAGTAATTTCCAAAATCCGATGGAAATCTGATAATCTGGATGGGGTCTGGTCCAATTAATCCGGATAATAAACTTTATACTATGTTGAAAGCCTATCTGAGGTCTATAAGTTGTTGTATGTATTAACCACACTTGATTTATAATAAATGGGCTAATATAGTTCAAAAAAAAATTTGAACTTAATAAAGATTTATTTTGTCAAGAATAAAGAAACTGTTTCATCCAACTATATATTTGTGCGTTTTCATTTTTACAAATAGTCATATACATCAAGATATTCATTGAAATACATTATGGCCAAACATTTACACAGAGCAGGAACATATAAATTATTAAAAGTTAACACAAGTTACACTTTTGGTAAAGAAAAATCAAAATAAATTATTGCCTTAATTATAAATGACATGATGACTTTTCTTTTTGACCTTGGATTATAATAATTAAGGTTTCTGCTTAAAATATTACTTACTGTACTCAATGCCAATAAAAAAATACATTCACACATCCATGTACATCCTTTCAACGCTAAAATTTTATGATTTTGTACATTAGAAGAAACGGCCCCGCAGCTTTAGCAAATTTCAAACAAAATATGATTGAGAGATGCAGTGTACAGTGTTATTAATCACTAAGACCAGTTATCTAGTGTTTAATGTTACTCAGTAATATCTGAATTTTAAATTGGCTTCAAAATGTTTAAAACTCATGTGGTTAATTGAAGGAGTGTGTCATTGTTTATTTATTAGACCTACTTTAATATCACACACAATTTTTTATCCTGGAAGTAACTTTAAAACCAGGTCTTTTGTCTGAGCTTGGTTTACTCTTGCCAAATGAGGTTATATGGCTGTTATTGGAGATTAAATAAAAAAATTTAAAAATTAGCAAATTTTTTATCAACGACACACTCTGATAATTCATTGACAACTTCCTTAGTTCAAATTTGAATGTACCTATCATAAGATGTACAGGTATCGTTGGATTCCACAAAACTGCATGGTCAAACTTTCAGGTACTTTGCCATTCATAATTTATAAATTCCTTTTTTTTTGCTCAGAAATTGTGTTGGGAATGGAAAAGAATAGTTATAATCCAGACTAACTAGATCTGTAACCAGGAAAGGGTCCGAAAAAGTTTTGGTAATGGTGATAATTTTGTAAAAACCAAGTACACCGACATACGTAGTAATAATATGATTCTACGTAGTAAATTCAATGAGTCAAGTGATATGGCTGATGTATTCCTCAACTGGTCATAGTTAAGAGAGCTTGGTTAAATTTGTCTTTGATAAAATTTCATCATAATTGAAACTTTAAAGACCCAACATACTAATTCCTTCAGCCTGTGTATCAATAAAGTTAATACATTTTCCACTGTTGATTCAGTAATAAACTGTACCAGGGTTGCCACCAGCCATGAAAACCTTGAAAAGCGTGAATTATGCGTGAATTTAGGTGACCATGAAAAAGTGCGTGAATTATGCGTGAATTTCGCCATTGGACCATGAATTCTCAAAATCATTATTAATAATTCAGCCAAAACCCCTAAATGTGCTGAATCAAATACTCCGTATTAAAACCATTCTCGAAATGAACACCGAGATAAAACGTCAAAGTGGGAGTGTCAAGATAAAAAGTTTTGTTGCCATGCCACGAACAGAAACGATTGCGTAGTTTATTCAAGGTCAAATCCGATCGTAACCGACGTCAGCCGAGTAGTCTAGAGATGAGAATTATCGTTGTTTTCCGGCAACGGTTATAACGATAACGCAGCTGCCCAATAACGTGTTGCGGCGTTCAGTTATCGTTGTCGGTTGATCAGTTCAGTTTTCAGTTGTAGTCGGGAGTCGGGCGTGGCCCAGACAGGATGCGTTATTCTCACTGAGCTAAAATTATAACTGGAGGTAGCACTGCCATGGCAGAAGTCTGTCAAAAGCGTGTCGCTAATTTTGTTAGGTTGGTATAGCAGTGAGTTTTTTCATCCAATGACATGGCTTCTATAACTAGGTTTGTATGGCAGTGAGTTTTTTCATCCAATAACATGGCTTCTTTATAACTCACACCTCACGCAAACATGGCGGCTGGCGACACGCATCTTTGACATTCAGTGCTACCATTGACTAATGGTGCTACCTCCAGTTAGAATCATAGCTCAGTGGTTATTCTAGTTCGTTTCAGAAGTTATCGTTGCTCTGGTAGCGTTACGGCAACGGCACTAATGGCAATGCATGTTTTCGTTTTCGTTGTCCGCGCGGCTTTCCTGCAACATTGTGTAGATAGATACGTTATTATAATAACAGGGAGTTCTCCGCAACGTGTTGCCGCGATAACGTTGCCGTGGCCGCAACACTGTTATTCATCCTGTTATGCTGTTATGTTATAACGCCCATCTCTACCGAGTACCGATCTACCGATAAAATCGATGCTTTCGGAGCCAAAACATCGATCACATCGATGTTTGTTCCGAGTTCCTCGTCTGTTCTCTGCACTGTAACAGCCAATTAACCTAAAACCAATACAATTCAGTTACGGAAAACATCAATACTGTATTTCATTACTTTTTTTGGCCTAAAAGACCGATGTAACAAACCAAATCATCGGTTCGGTAATCTACCATCGATGTAAACAAACAACTTCGAACATCGATAGAAAAGACATCGATGTTTCGAAAACATCGACAATCGGAATTGATGCTCGCTAGTCGCTCTCACTCATTCTCTACTCTCTACTCTAGTGTTCGTGTGGAAGGAAATACAGAATAACCATAACCTAAAAGTTTTAAACTGATCTGAAACTTGTCAAACGTTTGAAGTAGTGGTGGACACTGGACAGTAAGATCACTTTTTGCACTCGTGATTCCGTTTTGTGCTTCTTATAATTGATTACCCAACACTCAGTGGAACAAGTGTTCAGATTAAATATTTTTTATTACTGATATATCATACTTCCGATACTTTACAACGTTAAAATAAGAAGTACCTTGCCTTGCCATAAAGGTCAAAATGGCTTGCTCCGGCTGGAACTTAATCGTCTTCTGTGTTTGTTTGGTCAAATATGTCGTATTTCAAACTACTGTCAGTGTTGAGTAAATGTGTTTACAACGTGAGTTTAAGTTTATTTATTTAGGCCTAAGTTGCAAGAAGTCAATGTTGTGCTGAAAAATGGTGATTTCGTTCTGAGGCTGGTAAATGTAAATGTTTTGTTAGAAGCATAGGTGTTTTCAGTCAATACGAATCTAACTAATGAGATGTTTAATTAAATAATTGTTTTAACTGTGATTTAAACCTGTGTAGGCAAATGATAATATATAAACTGATCCAATCGGAAGAAACATCCTTCTAAACTAAGTTTATTTTAACCTTTTCTGTAATGTAATTAATTATTTTTTTATTACTTAAAAGTTAGCCTATGTTTAAACTTACATTTAACTAATCCACTAATATTTAACTATTTAACTAAATATTTATTTACATAATATTACCTTTTTAGAGTGTTTTTATCAGTCAGTCGGTAACCTTTAATCTTCTCAATAAATAAAAGTTGGTTCAGGCCTAACTTAGCCTAGATTCAGCTTTGGATTACAATGTAGGCTAGCCTACTGTGTTACAGTAGTAATAGATTGCATGTGCGTTTTAGTAGGCCTAGATATGGCCCATTACTAAGTTAACCGTTTCTTGATCATGTTCTTAACATTTGTTTTTATTATGCCTATTATCTTAATTACCGGTATGCGTTATGCCTATTATCTTAATTTGATGTTTAGACAGTAAAGTTCTAGGCCATTGCTGGATTAACTAAGTTAAACCTTTTATGTTTGGATGCAATGTTTTTTAGGTTAGGCCTATACCTAACTACCAATCCGACTTATTATTTATTTATTATTTCTTCTAACGTTTGAATTTATCATTAGGCCTAAGTTATGATGTTGTTAAATCAGATGTTTCAATTTTTTTTAAGAATTACATTGTATTATCACACACAAGATTTTTATTAAATATCCTTTTTCATCTGTGATTTTACTTTTTTTAGACTGGATAAATTTTATTAAATTCTTATTTTTCACTCTAAAATAGTTGCATGAAATGTGTTTTATTTTATAGTAGCACACAAAACTATATATTGTCGATAAATTAATGTACAATTCTGAACTAGGCAATACTCTTTTATGGTGAAATTGTGCGAGCATATACCCCATGAATTTTTCAAAACTACCAATGAAAACCTTGAATTATGCATGAATTTTTTTATCTCACTTTGGTGGTAACCCTGTGTACATTTCATGTCTTGTTAAAGGATGAAACAAAAACTCAATTTCAGTGACGGAAAAAAACATTAACACCTTTAAACAAAAGGTAATATCAGAGGGCAAGACTTAGTTGTCAAACAGAATGGTATGAATGAACAAACATATTTTATAACCACTGGTAGGCCATCTGAGATAAAAAAATAACAATATAAAACTACATAAACCATTTACTGACTAGCAAACACTCAACTGCGCTGATATGCATTTGAATTGACAAGAGACGTTTTACTATGACGGGAACAAGTGTTGGGCCGAATGATGAGCATTGGAAGTTTTAATAGCTACAATGTGAGAGGTGGCCAGAGTCTGACGCCGTCGTAGACGTACCTGAGCGTCAATAACCTCCCAACAACGCTGCATCAGATCAGGCTCTTCAAACAGTCTGGACTGTGACAGCAGCAGACAGGCGTTCTTGGCAGTCAGGCTAGTCTCCAGATAGGTGACACAGGCACGGGCCAGGTGTGGCACGATGTACTTCTTGGCAACATACAGAGTGGCCAGCACAGTGTCTGCTTCTAACTGGATCTCGTCACAGTACAGGTACCTGCAGCAAAAACATCAAACTCACAGTTAAGAGTACTTAGGCCGGGAACATGCAGAATTGCATTGACATTTCAGCATGTTGAACAGAAGCAAATAGGGCAAATAGGTACACATAGGAGAGTGACAGTAGAGACAAATCAGCTTTGTCACCATGTGCAGTCAGCGGCCAAGGAATTAAACAAACTGGAATTGAAGCCACTAGTTTTTTGTGGCGATTCTACAGTGCTGAAGGGAGTATTGTGTGACTCTTCCCATTGACAAAAATCACCTGACAGAGAAACATACAATTTTCTCACAAAGAAACTTAATGGATGTTGTTATTCACACATTGTTTTTAAATGTGTTTCATATTTTTGCAGAAGTTAACACAACTATTTAAAGTTTTAATTAATTTTTTGCCATATGTAGATGGATGTAGGCAAAGGCAAAAATTTAAGAATTTTCCTAATAATACCTTTATTTTTTATTGATTTTATTGAAACACAGCCAGTAAAATGTTGCCTCAGTAACTGACAGAGACGGGTGGAAAGAACCTATGTGAAACTGAAGGTTGGCTTCAGGACCTCAAACTGTGTATTGCTAGTCTATGTTATTCTTTGGTCGCTGGTTACAGTTGACAGTCATCAGCCCAACTATTGGGTGTGACTCTCACTAGATCAAGTTAAGAGACAGGATGAATAAAAACAAAGTGGTGTAAGATTAACTAGGAAGATCTATTAAATTATGCACAGAACAATTTTGAAAATATTTTACATAGGGATTTGAAGACCTGAACATTTGCAAAATTTTAAGGCCTATTCATGTTTTCTGGTAGGATTTCAGCTTTTTTAGGAGGCAAGAGTGAGATATAAAAGCAATTAGGAAGCTGTCAGCAAAGTTTGCACAATCCAAAAGTCATGGTTTTGCCGCAATTACAAGTGATTCTGGAATGGATTAAATCCAGTCACAAGAAAATGAGTGGCTTTTCCTGGGTTCTCAAATGAAACTAGAAGAAAATTAAAAGTGATATTTCAAACTTACTTGAGCAATGTTAAAAATGCTGAAGGCTCAACATCAGGAACTTCAACTTCATCTTTGTTTTCTGCGAGTCCGCCATAAAACATGGCATAGAAAACAGAACTACCTGTGGCTAAAACGTACTTGTGAGCAGGAATCTTCTGTGTCTGACCTGAAAAAGAGATATTTACCACATTGGTTTTTTTTTTAAATTATACTGATATTATAAATTTGAGAAATGTTTTAAGGTTTTATATTATTAAGTTCGACTTATTGTTTAGAATTAACAATTGAGGTAAAAAAGATGCTTTACCCTAGCTGTAATATTTGTCAAGGATAACACAGAATCAGAAACACAGAACATTCTTAAAATACCCCCGCCGCAGCAAACCTGCAGACTAAGCGAATTTCAACTTGTCTGATTACATTTTTACTAAAATATTTCCATAAATAAGACATATTATTTCCTATTTAAATAACATTAGATTTAACAAGTGCTTAGGTTTGCTGCTACGGGGAAGGTAAAAAATGTTTTTTGACCATACATCAATAGTATAGGATGAAATAAATAAATTTGCCAAATTTTATCAATATACACCCATAAACAAGTAAACTACCTACAACAGTTTTCATTTTCTCCATAAGAATAACATGGGAATTTTTAATTACACTATTTTTGAATTTTCTCCGTGACCGTTAGGCATACAACAGCGCTTCAATATACTTAATTATTTATTTTTTTAAGCTCTACAAAACGTTTTAGAAAGAAATCGCAAAATTTTTTGTTTTTAGGTTCAAAAATGGGAAAAACCCATTTTTACCCCATGAAACCCCCCATAATCCCCCGTTCCCATGGTCCGATTATGCTGGATCGCGAACTCGTTCGAATAAACGTAGGTTTACACGTTTGTACCAAATTTCATCAAAATCGGATCATTTTTGCTCGAGTTATCGCGCTAACGGACACATATATATAAATATATATATATATGAATTTGAACGGATGGTGTTTTTGGCCTCTAGGGACCTCAAAATGAAAAATTAGATCGGTCTCGGGTCCAGGTCTTACCATGAGTACTACGATAATAGCTTATTCCCTATATGGGAAATTCGCTAAAATAACAATTTGTATTGACTTTATATAACAACTGCACAACTGTATTGACACCCTTTCAATCTTAAAGATTGCAAATAAAGTAATCTTGTATCAGTCTACTGGAGTAAGTTTACCATACTTCAATTCTGTTCTGTGTGTGATGCTGGCTTTTATGTTCACGAATCTTATTCCAGCCACAATTGTGATTGCTGTGGTAGTGTCAGGAAAGAAATTCCAAGACTTGCATTAATCATAGAGAAAGGGGTTTTGTTTGAACTTTTATCACACACATGAAAACCAGCCTTCTTTTGCCAAGTAGGCCTACTATTCTCATATAGTCTACATTTTTGTATGTGTAAGCTCCATGAGAACATTTACTAGCATACAGTACCTATTAAAACAATGAGCGAGTTATTTTAATTTTTTTAATTTGTTGTGCTCATTCATCAGTGAAATAAATTATGTTCTGATAGAGAATAGACCAATCCATTTTAACGGTATCCTACAACCCTTTTTAGTATTGATATCACTAATGGCATTATTTCTAGTAAAGCATTGTCATTTGTTGGTATTAAATATATTCCCTAGTTTCTCTTAGTTTACATCAAATTGAAAAGTTAGCACTATGAAAAATGTCATTTACAACCTTTACCTTCATTAAAATAAGTTAAGTCAACTAGGTAGCTCAATTTCTAAACCGTGCAAAACTGTGGAAAACCAAGCAAAAGTTAAAGTGTGATGTGTTGCAGTTAATATACCGTTCTGTCGAATTTCAAAACACACTGTAGACTACGACCATATCCTCCTAAAAGCCGTTGGGTGACTTTCTACAGCCAGTTTTAACGTCCAGAACTGTGTGCAAAACCTCCCATTTCCCCATTTATTTGTCATGAATAAGTAGACATTTTAAAAACTAACTATGACAATAGCATTCATAAATCTCAAAACATATTGTGGGCTACGGCCATATCCTCCTAAAAGCTGTTTACTGACTTTCTAAAGGCATTATTAATGTCTATAATATCTGTGTCCAACTGTCCATAAACCTCCCATTTCACCTGTTATTTGTCTTTGTCATGAGTAAGTGTAGACATTTTAGAAACCAAAATAGGCCTATGATGAACTTAAAAAACAAAAACAATTTTGGTTTTGTACAAAATGTACAATTTTGTTGTACATGAATTTCAAAACATAGACCTACTGTAGACCCAATTGTCCTAAAACCTTCCATTTCACCTGTTATATGTCATGCAAGCAAGACACGTTTTTTTCTATTTCATAGACCCGTCACAATATGTATATTATCGAATTCAGTAATGTATATATAAAGTCAATGGTAATAGCGTTGACTATATAAACTTTAACACTAGTGTTTATATAGTCAATGGTAATAGGCTACTGGTGCTACCGCTGATTGCTGATTGATGCCTGTGTAAAGTTAGTGGTTAGCAGACAATTTGACAACTAACTATAACTATGAAACATCAGGAAATCAGCTGTTTGCTGGTCCTCGCTCGCGCGCTCGGCGCTAGCCTTTGCCCTAGCATGTCAACAGCTGACTGCTGTAAAAATTGGATTGATGCGTATAACTATCCATAGCGTAATATTGTTTTATTCGTTGTGCTATTGTCCACAAAGTTTATCTAGAACTTAATACTACTCCTGCCATCACTTATTAAGTTTAATAAAAATTACATTGATGTCTGTTTTATGACATTGCGTTTTCTAAGGACGAAATGTACATTTAAATTTATTTTTCCAGGGTCCAAGGGGGGGGGCTTTAGCCCCTGTAGCCCCCCCCCTTGGAACTGCCATTGGTCATACTTATCCTTTGTAAAAATCCAATAGTAGCCTACCCAATATGATTTAGTTCAATCCTGAATATCACTAGCCTATTAAAAATGATAACTTAGGCCTACAAAAAGGTAGGAAAAATTATTTCAATAATTGGTGACTATGACTGACATTATTAAATGCCAAAATACCACATACCTGGACTCCCAACTATAAATCTAATATCTGCCATAAGCTCATTATTGAACATGGCAGCATTTCTTTCTCTAACAGTTGACTTGGTGGCTTGCCAATTTGAGTCGAGAGTAGTAAGACTGGAGCATGTAAGATTGAAGTTTGTTGATGTGATAAAGTTGGGAGACGCAAGGGGTGACGTGGGTGCACTCGCAGGTTGGGTAATCTGCATCGATTCTCGTTGTGAGATGTTGTTGGGTGGTGATATTGATAGTCCTCCATTATTAAGTGTTTCCACTGAAACATTATAAAAACCAACCCTAAAAAAGATGTACATTATGATCATAGGCTATGTAGGCTAACTTATGAATAACAATAAAAACCTGTTTTGCATGCTTAAGTATTTAAACTTGAAAAGATGTGAGTAGGTTTATTTCGACAAGGCTGTCCAAAATAAAATTTTAAACAAGAACTTAGTAAAGTCTCAGACACAGGCCTGCGGTATGTGCCCAAGAGGTAGTTGTGCCCCATTATCCAGTGCTATATTTCTCTAATGGCGGACACAGTAGTTTTCGGGGAACTCTGCCTCACAAGAATCTGTATATTTTGGAAAATGAGTTTTTCTGAAAATATGTTAGTTATAGGGGATACGATTTTCGAGTCTAACTTATACTCAACGAAACTAGGCTATTAAAATAAACTAGGCCTAATTTTGTTAATTAAATTTTTATATTTTGTTTCGTATTCATGATTTTCCGCTTTCATGAGAGACAATTTAGGCTAACTTAAACTTAATGGTTGTCCTCGAGATCGTGGAAGATGTTCACCATTCCGCCACAAATGTAGCCTAAGTTAGATGTTCATGATTGCTCCACGATTTCGTCACAACTGCGATTGAAGATCGTGATCCCGCAAACACTTCATATTATCAATGCCTATTATTGAAAATCAAAATGTAACTTAATTATTTATTAGCTGGTGCCCTATAGCCTAGATGTGTCTGATTTTAATATGGATCAATACTACGATGAATTCAGATTAAAAGTTCCGCCTAAGTTAAATAAGTCATAGGCACTCAAGCCTGTTTGATTGCAGCTATATCATGAATGTGATTTAACAATCCAGACCTAGGCTATTTTAATTCACACTATTAAGTCAGCTTATAAGTTATTGTTAGGCTAAGTAGGGCTTTGAAGATTCAGTCCTTACTGATGGTAGTTATTTTAATGTAGACGTTGCCTTCAAATAGGCCTATGAACAAGATGAAAAAATGTAAAATTAAAATTGGAGCTCTAAAGCTCATTGATCTAAGTTAAGTTAAAAATTAGGCCTAGTAGGCCCCTACACTCTTATAATTTGGCAAAGTTGAAACACAAGGAGGTAACTTAAGTTTACAGCTATTTTTAAGGAAGCGAACTATTATTAAATTATTGTTCCGACTTACCATTTACCCATTGGTTGGTCTGAGAAACATTTATATCCTGAATCCTCTTAATGGGTTTTTGGGATATTTTAGAATAAAAATTTGACATAGCCATGTTGCTCATTGGTTATATGTACACTCTCTTCTAATCTAATAATTATAAGAATATTTATCACACCATTGTCTGTTATGTTTTGTTTTTAACTTGACACAAACTATCAAACTTCGCTACCCTGTGGCTTAATCTATTTATATCCTTCTGCTCTTCTGCTGGCTCTGACTGACACCAGTGACACCGTCAAACAAACAATAGCACCGACTAAGACAACTTTAAAAAAATAATCACTTCAGAACCAACGATCACAATTATTACAGAGGATATTATAATACTATTTGTTAACAAATCAAATACTCGCCCCCTTGTTAACAATTCATATTAGGTCGAACTACAAACAATACAATTTACGTTTCTATTGATGTCGAGCTTTATATCTTTCTTATACGCAGAAAAGGAATCAACAATCGAGGTCCTGCGCAGTTAGGCCCGTTCGTTGGGTCCACACCACAATGTCTGGTTCAATATCGAGTTTTGGTATGCGTCGACGCATATCAATTGTTTGATTTCTTATAGGCTTATAGTGGTTTAATACACGTATTAATAGAAATCACAGTGACCATTTACATATTAGATACAAAATTACTTTGATTAGGATAAGGAAGTAAAAAAGCTTAAGATCTTCAGAGTTAGTCTAAGATTTTCTTGATTTGCTAGATACACGCACGTTTCGGATACCGTGAGAAACATTATTTGAACCTATGCAAATAATTTATACGGCTTTTTTTATTGCCTTCTCTCAACGCAATATATTCTTTATAGATAGATTCTTTATCGCATCAATTTATTTCCTTTATTTATAGATTATTTTATAAGCTTTTATATTATGACCACAAATAATAGATCTAGGAATCTAATTTTTAGCTACTGACTGCTTGTCCTCTATGCTATATTATAAACAACGACTATGTACTACTGCAAGTTCGTTGACTTTGACATGTCTGATACCGTTATTTTAAAACGATACTGCCGGCACATCGGGAATTTCCATAAGTTAAATCCAAACCTTCCAAGCGTAAAGTTCAGAGGTACCGCCGCCCCTTTCCCGGAAGCCGACCGCCGCTGTTTGTTTATGTCACACCATTGACAATTATATCACGGCCGCCTTTAACTCCAGGCCGCGGCCTTTGAACTGGCAACGTCGCGGGTCTGACTTAGGGGAGGTACGAATGAGGCATTAGTTCAAAATTCCTCCGTGAACAGCGCTGTAGTAGAGAGTGCATTGGCAATGAAGGTTTAGGCCTACTAATCGCAAAAATAGTTCTGTTCATAAAATTAAATTATAAATGCCTCAAATTCAATTTTATTATTTTTTAATTATAAAATTAAACTATCATAACCTAACCGAACTAACCAAACTTGCTGATAATGAAATAATATAACAAAAGTTTAGTACAGTAATAGAAAAAATTATTCTGTTTATTAAATAAAACTAGAAATTGCTCAAATAAAATTTTATAATGACTTAATAATAAAATTAAACTGTCATAACCGAACCAAACCAACCAAACTTGCTGATAATAAAAAAAATCTTTGGTCAAAAAGTAAATGTCACCAGCGGGATTTGAACCCGGGCCTTCAGCATACAGGCCCGTCACGATAACCATTAGACCACTGGGGCCGACGTCTACTGATCGTTTTGTTACGATAATGGCGTTCCCTCAGCTAATAAGAAGCCCACAGCTGTCATCGTAGCCTCTTCTATACCTCCCCTGAGTAAATACCCAACGTCGCAAGTGGTGTTGTAACAGCTGTTTTGTTTGGTAGCAGCTAATTGTATTTGTGTATTTACGAAAGATTGGTTACTGAACTATGACAATATTGACTCCGCTTAAAAATGTACAGATATAGATTTTAATTCCTATTGTTTCGGTTTTCAATTTTGTATGTTTTCTTTTCAATATTTTAATAAATTTATGTTCATAAATTTAAATCTAAATCAATAAAGTGCGAATTAATGAGCTGATGTCACCTGTCTGCCATGTTATCTTATAGGACGTCTGTCACTGAACAACACCACTTGCGATGTTGCCAATTCTACCAGGCCGCGGCCTGTAGTTAAAGGCGGCCGTGATTATATATACCCGAATTGTAAAAAGTTTAGATTATATGTAATCAATGGTTACAGTCAGGATTTGCCCCGGCAGCATCCATATCCATGTCACATGCAATAATAGGCCTGTAGGCCTGCTTTGCAGCCATAGTAGGCACGAGGCTTTATGGCCGAAATATATAAATTACATTCAGAAACTAAGAAAAATTTGTGTGTGTATGCTAGATAACACATACCTATGAACCACCGCGTCGGGCTTTCAGTCTAAAACAAATTAGCATCTGGCTACGTATATATAGGGCTGAGCTATAGGGGTGAGCTATTACCTTAAGTCTCATGGTAATTTCTAGACCTGAGGCCATTTTATTTTTTTTGTCTAGTATCCCCCGAGCCGAAAAAACACTACCCATTCCATTTTTTAAATAAATATATATGTGTGTATGTAAGCGCGAAAACTGCAGTTAAAACATCCGGTGTTGATCAAATTCGTTACCAAAAAAGTGTTAACTAGGTTTATTTAAACAATTTTGCAAACCGGCATGCTCGGACTAATTAAAGGAACGGTGTTTTCTGAGGGGTGGGAGTCTCACGACGGGCTTACCCAACTCCGCGCAGTGGTCAGAAATCTGCCAAAACCGACTGTCCAACTCCGTGTAGTGGTCAATTCGGATCCCTCGTGGCACAAGTCTAACTCCGCCACAGCCCTGATGGCTGAGAGTTTGTTTTTGAAGTTTGAATTTGTTATAAATGTAAATAATTCACAACTGTATGACACCCCAGTAACTAATAAAATAAAGTTAATAAGTACAAAAGAGAATACTTCTGTTTCATTTGAATTTAACTATACCAGTTAATAAAAATTATAGATATTATCAATATACTTTTTTATGTAATGTTTAAAATGTTTTGCTTTTATTTATATCAATATTAAACTTAAAATGTTAATGTTTGCATATGTATATTAACCTAACCAAACCTAAGTAGTTATGAACAAATAAAAGTGTAACCAGTACTTTTGGGACACACGGTATATTTATATATATAGAATATTTTATATTAAACCCTTAAAATCTCATCCGAGAGCACAACAAGTACAAGTTAAAGATTGATGGGTAGCGTAGAGATTAGATGTGGCCAGCGCGCGGAGTTGGACTAGGCCTATACACTAAAGTGACCACCCCGCGGATTTGGACTGGACCCTGCGGGGGCCATCAAACGTTTCCTCGTCTAAAATCTGACCACCGCGCGGAGTTGTTGGGCTACCCCCTCACGACTCCACACGTTTCACGTTTGCATTAAGGCTGATGCAGAAATATCTTATTTACATTTTTTTTCAGGTAAAATAACTCAAATTAATGTATTTCCTCCGATTAACTGGCAGACAATAAACATGTTATGTATTTAATGTAATATATTGTTGTTAATTTACAAATATGTAAATAAAACAACTAGCTGTTACCCACGGGCTTCACCCTGCTTCACCCCGTTTGACTTCACAAGTATTAATAAAATTATTGATTGGTTAAGTTAAGCTGAAATAAACAAAACAGGATACAGTAATACAAACAAATAAGTACAGCTGAGACATTTTTAACATTAGGTAATATGGAAAGTTCCCTTTAGAAAGGAATTACGACCGTAAAGGGCAATTTACGAAATAATGGATAGTTTTGCGCAAGGTTTCTCGTCATGACGAACATTTTAAGATGGTTTATGGGGGTGTGACTTGTAGTTTTCTCAAAAGTTCATGGGTACTTTTGGCTTTATATATAGATTTAGAAAATAAACGCCAGCCGCAAGCTATGATGCGTGCATTTAACTTGATTTATCCTAACTTATTTTTATTACGTTATTAACTTATTTATTTTATTTTATTAACTTTATTTATTTTGTAAGGAAATTTTGACCGAAATTCATAAGAATTTTGAATAAGTCTTTATTACTTCTCTGTGCTGTACCGTATTCCGAATTCCGACTGACGTCGGGCGTCTCTGCCACGATTCGACGGACCCGAGCGAGTGAGGGCTTCGGGCATGGAGGTCAGAATTCGACGGATCCGAAAAATCGAGCGCTGAGACCACATGGGTACACGCTACCCGCGCGGAAGAAAATAATATTGCCCTCTACAATAAAAGCTACACATTACCATACACACAAACCATTTAGTTTTTCCTCTCAGTTTTATCATATCTAAACATAATTGCTTATACTTTTATAGTCCTTTTGGATCTGCTAAAGACATTTTGAAGATTTTAAGGTTTTTGTAGAGCGTTCTTTGTTTGTTAATATTTATTTATTTGCAAGTATAAAAAAGTAGGGATATCGATTACCGATACTGTGTTTTTAATATATAGAAAACAACTAATATGCATATAAACCACATCCATACTATTCAAAAAAAAAATAATGGTATCTGTCTGTACTGTATGTGTATCCATATATAAATACCAAAGTACACATGAACTTTTGAGAAAACTAAAAGTCACACCCCCATAAACCAAATACTTAAAATGTTCGTCATGACGAGAAACCTTGCGCAAAACTATCCATTATTCCTACTAATTGTACAGATATTTAATCTATGGTATCATTGTGATTAAAAACGCCATTAATTATGCTTTCTAACGTCAACGTGAACGCTATCGATGTTTGGACTTGGACCGCCCTCTTACAAAATAGTTTGAATGACAGAGGTAGAAATGAGACGAAATAAGTAGCCTACACTATATCAGTATCAGGACATCCATGACATTAAGACTACGTGTTGTTGGTGCGATTGTGTTTGTGATGAACGTGTCCTGAAGGCGATAACGGCATCGCGGATGACATCGTGTAAAACATCAACAATAAAACTGTGTTAGAACAGCGATAGCGAGCAGTAGCAGTAGTAGTAGCCACCGTCGCCGTATCACAATCACACGCTTTGTATGATAAACGGGCCATGACATTACAAAGGCTTGCTGACTTAAACATCAGCTCACTGCGGACCCGTGTCACACTGGCAATGTCAATGCCGCATAAACACTTGACAAATCTACACTTTACAGCCCTTTGGGCAGCGGAAGCGTGTAATGTTATTGAATATACCCTTGCAATTGTTATAGTAGTACACATTCTTTAGTTTTATCCAGCTATCCTTTATGATAAAAATATAGTGAATTCAAAAATTCCTTTGTAATGAACTATTGTGTGAATTGATTAAAACCTTTCACCTACAATACAGTACTGCTGTAGAAAGAATAATGAAATTACCGACTTGTTTGGATTTTAGATCAATGTCAAATCTACTATACTGTATAGCATTGACGTAGGTAAATGGATTT